TTTTTAATTATATTTTAGTGAAATAAGACATAAAAATAAAGGTATGGCCTGACAAAAATTACCAGTGGAAATAACTTTTCTAAGATATCTTTTGTCTCTTGGCTTTATGATGAAAAATAGGTTGATTCTTAAATTGTTCCTGTAGTTCATGCCCTCCTGTTTAGTTTTTATCTTGATTGGAGGGGTTAATTTTCCTAAAGTTGACATTTTTTTTTCTTCCTTTAGCTTGCTGGTTTGTATTATCCAGGGTGTTAATTTATCTTGATTTATTTAACTAACAAATCTGTGTCAGTATTCTATATATGCATATAAAGACCATCCTCTGGTCGTTTAAAATAGAGGATTTCATCTATTCTATGATAGGATAAAGTAGGAAACCTTTACAGGTTAGTAGTTTTCAGAAAGCAGAAATGAGAAGTAATGGACTCACAAGGTTGCAAGTTTGTACTCAGGGAAGTCTACTCCTTGCCATGGATTCTGCTTTGTTGGGAAGGAAGCATAATACAGATTATTTTTAAATTTAACTTCATGTCGTTTGATACTTAACCCATTAAAATCATTTTTAAATGAAAGTGTTGGGAGTTAAGTTTAACCATTGTTGACTTAATGGATTTATTTAAAGAAGATGGTGTCTAATGCTAGCTCTAGTTCTAGGATAGTTCCCAAGGTAAGAACTTAGAAACAAATGTAGAAAATAGCCACTAAAGACTAAAAGGAGCCTGTTTTATTGCTATAAACATCAACTGTGAAAATCAACTGGAATATTACAATATCCGAAATAGTTACTTTTTGATGACATGCTAAATAGCATTATATATGTAATTTTATGTTTTAAAAATACTTAATAAAGTTGTGTTGTAGAGAACACCACGATGAATATCTTTTTATTATGTGGGCACTTTATAGGAATATATTACTAGTGACATGAGTTTATAGGAGCCTTTTTCATTTTCTTTTCTCCTTTAAACCTATTCAAACTATATGCTATTCAACATATGACAATCATTTGTTGTGACTATTCCTAAATTCTTTAAAGGCTTTTTTAATAAGTGAAAACTGAAAAGCTCTTTAAATGTGAATAGGATACCATAGTTTCAATTCTGGAACAGAGAAGTTGCATTGGTGTGGGGTAAACATCTGAATGTGGTTGGTAGTTTGGATAACAGTGATGTCCTGATTTTAATTTTCTTAGTTTTGTAGATTTTGTTAAACATTGCTTATGAAATTAGCATTTGTGGAAACTAGGCAAAGAATAAATGGGTATCCCATATATTCAGTAGAAACAATAAAAGCTTTAGACGTACAGTCATATGACTGGGTATCTGACTTCATTATTTTAAGGAAAGCTTTGTGGTAGCTCTCTTTTAGACATTTAAATCCCTAAAAGTCCAGCAATAAAAAATAAGTCCATAGTTTTCCTGTGAAGAGGCACTAAGCTTTTAAGTTTCCTTAATATTGTATGAAACTTGCTTATTTTTAAATTATTGCAAATGAAAAATATAATAGAGAAGGCTAACTTAAATTTCTTTTGACTATATTTTATATTTTGAAATTTGGGTCATTAGGAAAAAAATAAAGCCAAGATTAATCCACTTGTAAGATGGTACTGGCCTTAGTTGATACCTGCTTGAACATACTAAGAAGAAGAAATATATAGTACTATGAGATTTTAAATGAAATAGCTCTATTCATAAAGTTATTGCAAATGTTAGCATATGCAACTATATCTAGTTATCCATATACAAATTCCTTTTATTTTCTTGGGTTATTGAGTGTTATTATAATAATTTGTCCTCAAGTGCCATCAGAATTCAGAAGCAGTATTATAGTACTTTGAATCAGATTGATTGAATGTAATCAGGGGAGGCATCCCTTCACAAAGACATTAGAATAGGATGAAGAGAATTTAAATATACAGAGACAAATAATTGAGTATATATGTGTATTGATGATGGCTAGTAATAATGACATACTCATTCAATTGATGAGTATTTCAGGTAAAGTTTTCTGAATGTTGTACTGTAGTGTATTGTCAAAGTGACACTAGTTTTATGGAAGATCTTGAATGCTAAGAAATTTGAACTGTTTTTATCTAGGTAGGGTATTATTTTAAAAACCATGGAGTAGGGGGCTGGAGAGATGGCTCAGTGGTTAAAAGCATTGCCTGCTCTTCCAAAGGTCCTGAGTTCAATTCCCAGCAACCACATGGTGGCTCACAACCATCTGTAATGAGGTCTGGTGCCCTCTTCTGGCCTGCAGACATACACACAGACAGAATATTGTATACATAATAAATAAATAAATAAATATTAAAAAAAAAAAAAACCATGGAGTAGCTTTCAAAGTGGCATTTTAGAGTAGTATCAGGTAGGTGTGTGTGTGTGTGTGTGTGTGTGTGTGTGTGTGTGTGTGTGCGCGCGCGCGCGCGTGCGCGCGCGCGCGCGCCCTCCCTTTATTGGAATAAAATCTTCTTCCTTGAAGGTACACATGAAAGAAAAATGGGAGATACGGCTCCTGTTTGAGCCTATCTGAAGGAGAGTAGACCAAGAAGCTTACTGTAGCTCTCATGTGTAGCGGACAGACTGGTACATATTTTCTACCTGGTTGAATGGAAAAATAAGTCAGTTATTGCCTTTTTTTTTTCCCTTTTAAACCTGTTATCTTCCAAGAGAGAAGAATAAAACACTGGAATCACTGAAGGTGTTCAATTAGGCTGAGATTTTCTTTTTGCCATGTATAATGATGTGAATATTCTTCAGCGTATCAGATGTGTGTGAATGCTTCTGTGTCTGGAGCTTTGGTGTCATATGGACTGCAGTGAAAAAGAGACACATACTGAGGAGCTTGTAGCTGCTTGCCAGTTGAGCTCAGAAGTATAAACGGCCATAGACCCAAACTGTACTAATAAAATATTATTGAAATTTAGAGGGAAAAGAGAATTGGAACAGTTTGTCAATAAATTGAACTAGATTTTAAATTAAATTTGACTTTGTATTTACTTAAATTCTCCTGTATTCATCATGTATCTAATTTTCTACATATTTAGAAAATATAATTTTGCATGTATACTTTTGGTCACAAGTAAGTAGCAGAAAATAAAGATTGTGGATATGATTTTGGTCACTCAAATGAGGAACCACTTAATTTTTTATATGCTTTTAATTGAAGTAGAATTATATCATCTCTTTCCCCCATCCTTCAAGCCCCTCCCAACTACCTTCCCTTGAACCTCTCCCATGCCTCTTCTCTTTCAAGTTGGTAGCCTCTTATTATTGTTGTTAGACCTACATATGTGTGTGTATAAATGTTTGCATATAGGTGCACATATATGTGTGTCTGTGTACATATGTGTGCACATGTATATAAAACTCAGCAAGTTCTTATTTCTATACATACATGCACATATTTGCACATGTGCACAAATTTACTGAGTCCATTTTTGTTGTTCATGTGTGTATGCTTTCAAGGCTGATAACTCTGCATTGAACAACCAATGAAGTTCATACTTGCAGGGAGGAAACATCTCATTTAAAAACTGCATTTAGGAAAAGCTCTTACATACATGGATTATGAGGTTAAGTTTTTGGAGCATCTGAGAGTGTTCCAACATTTCCTTTTCATGTGTGTGCATACTCTCCTTAGTTGTTTCAACTTTGCTTGCTTTATGGTAAATGTGGGAAGCCAGAAAGAAGGTGCAGGTCAGCAGGAGAAAAGAGCTGATAATCACATACAGGAAGGCACACAGGAGAGGAAGAGGAAAGAGAAAGTAATTTGAAGAGGAAGGAAAAAAAATCACCCTTTTTTTGAAATACTTTAAAAAGCCATTTCAAGTTTCTTTTTAGAAAGTAATTTCATTTTTGAAAACAATTTGTCAAATCTTGCTAAGAAAGAAAATTATAGGATTCTTTGACTATTATAGATTTGACCTAAAAGTGACTTATTTAAGGCAATAATTGATATTTAGTAACTACATATGTTAGTCTCAGAATTGCCCAGCAATTGTTCTGATAGAATTTTGTTAGCTGGGTTTGAGTTGAAGAGTGTCCTGTTGCAGGGTGTATTTAACTCAGCATCCTCCCTTGTCTCCTCCTCCTCTTCCCCATTCAGCAGAGGCAGCAAACCTGCCCACAGTAGCTCCTGTAGACAGGCTTGACTCAGTCTCCGCTGGGGTCAAGCACTCCCATCTCAACCTCTTAAGGGCTTTCTCTATGGGTTGCCAGTGTGCTGGTAAAAATGACTTTAAACTCTTGTCAGCGTGGTTACTGGTGCATGCATCACGGTCCCACTCAAATAAACCTGTCACAACACAAAGTCAGCTGCTAGAGAAGAGTACAAGGGCAGGCCTCTAGCTTTTCATTCGAGCATCACTAACCGTGCACAGAGTGCCCAATTATTTCAGCATTATTGAGCAAGCCTACAGGAGAACCCAAGCCTTGCTACATTGGATTTTCTTTAGTAATTTGCTCAAGTGCCACTGAGGACACTTAAAGGGCTTAAAAAACTGCGGCTGCAACCAGCTTCCTTTTCTGGGGTTGTTAATTCAGGTTTTCTCTTTCAAATTAACTCTCCCTGCGTGCTGTGCAGTGGTTCTGGGACAACTGTTTAGCACTAATTTTCTCGATTTTCAGTTTTTCTTGTTCAACATGACTGCTTTAACAGTTATTCACATATACATTTTGATTAGAAATACATGATAGCTGGCCTTTTGTACTAAAACAAAATAATACAGAGTTTTTGTTAAATAACATTTATCTTTTGGAAGTTTATTGGCCCGTTTTGTCATTTTCAAAACTTAGGTTGTTTACTCTACATGTGTTAAAAAAAATAGATTTTGGAAGTAACACATCAATTATATATCTCTTTCTCTACCTTCCCTGATGTTAAAAAAAAAATGCATGAGGGTAACTATTTCTTGAGTGCAGTATTGTTTTCATTATCTATTCATACCTTCTGTTTTCTTTGAGGGGACAAATTCAATATCTATGGCCAATTTTTCACAGCAGCAACAACTCCAAGCTCAGCATTTATCACATGGACATGGTCTGCCTGTGCCTCTGACACCACACCCTTCAGGGCTTCAGCCCCCAGCCATTCCACCCATTGGTAGCAGTGCAGGACTTCTAGCCCTCTCCAGTGCACTAGGAGGTCAATCTCACCTCCCAATTAAGGATGAGAAAAAGCACCATGACAATGATCACCAAAGAGGTAAGTGTGGTATTATCTATCTTCTAGGGATAGATTACAGATGCCATTTTTGATTCCATCTCTGAATTTCATTTTGCCAGTGTCTAAATAAAAGGATTTCCATCAGAAGGCAGATTAATTATTAGAAGTAGTCATTTGCCACATGATGCCTTAGTATTGCTCAGAAGGTAAAGAACTGTTTCCAGATTTTGCTGCCCCATTCCCCTATTCCTACTCTAGCTCTTCTGGGGATGGAACTAAGGAACCTTACATATGCTAGGCTAGGTCTACCACTGGAGCTAAATTTCCAGCTCTCCAGATCATTGCCTTTGATCCCTTGCTTCCTAAATCTAAATTAGTAGTAAAATCCTGTTTAAAATGACTTAAGCATCGATAATCAGCTTTGACCAGTTTGTTTGAGAGGAAAACTTAAATTATTAAAGGGTTATTTGATATTTGACCAATTTAATTGTTATTTGTAAATTAGATCAACCTTCAGAGCATACTAAGAAAGATTCTGGTTATCTTATTGAGATGATACTATTCAAATTGACAAAATCTGTTGTTTTAAATACCTCTTTTGCTGTTCAAAAGCATGAGATTAACAAATCAGGAGTTCAGTTGTATTTTCTCAAGTTCTGCCTTCATTCTCCTCTAAGGAAGGTGATGGTAAAGGGGCATTTTAGTAATATTCCTGTATGTTTATACACTGCTTACTTGTTGCAGAATATTTGTGTATTCTGTAAAGATGTATCTTTGCTAAGGCACCTTCTGATTGGTTTAATAAAGAGCTGAATGGTCAATAGCTAGGCAGGAAGAGGTTAGGCAGGACTTCCAGCAGCAGAGAGGGCTGTGGGAAGAAGAAAGGCAGAGTCACTAGCCAGGCAGAGAGGAAGCAGGATGGGGAATACAGAGCAAAGGTAACTGAGCGACATAAAAGAACATAGTCTTAAAAATATGGGTCAATTTAAGTCATAAGAACTTGTTAGGAACAAGCCTAAGCTAAGACCAAGCTTTTATAATTAATATAAATCTCAGTGTCATGGTTTGTGTGTGTGAGAGAGAGACAGAGACAGACAGAGAGTGAGTGAGCTGGCAGCCAAAAGAAAAGTCCATCTATGTTTAATGTTGTAGAATAATCTTTTGTCCACTGTGAAGCTGTGTCACTCTAATTGGTTTAATAAAAACCTGAATGGCCAATAGGCAGGATTTGGGGGGCAGAGAGTATCCTGTGAAGAAGAAGGCTCAGATACCAGGAGACACAGAGTAAGCAGAATGGGAATTATGGAGGTGAGGTAATAAAACCTCACAAGGAACTAAATTAATAGAAATGGGTTGATTTAAGTTATAAGGGCTAGTTAGAAAACAAGTCTAAGCTATCGGCTGAACTTTCATGATTAATAAGTCTTTGTGTCATTATTGGGGAGCCAATAGTCCCAATGAAATAGTCCAATTACACTTCAACTGGTAATTTTTAATAGCCACTAGGTTAAAAAAAAAATTCTTCCACCATTCCTTTAGGGTAATTTATTTAGCACAGGGATGGTTTATTTGTTTGAAAGGGTGTGGCTTATAATAAAAAAGAAGGTCCTATCTACTGCTGGTTCAGTGTTATTACCAGAGTTACAGTTAGGGGCAAATTGTCTGTATTCCATAAGCATAAATTTACCTTCTCTGATGCTAGAAATACTGTAATATTTGTTCTAGAGTTATCTTAATACCATGGTAGAGTTGACTCATGATTATAAACTCTTTCATAAGTGGAAAAGTCAATAAGGTACACAAATAAGAATGGCTAACTTTGGTTCAATTGAAATCGTGTCAAAGGTGAACCAGTGCTTTGTGAATCTTGTTAGTATATTATTAATAATTAACTTTACAGCAAAGTTGACATCTGTTCAATTTACTATTTAGCAGGGTCAGGTTTGATAGATTTATGATTTTATGTAAACTAACAAGCACTTTTCTTCTTTTCTTCCCACTCTTGCATGCTTGCCTTGCTGCTGTTTTGCCTACAGACAGAGACTCCATCAAGGTAGGACTCAAAATTCAGGCACAAAAATAGTTTTAAAAGATTCTAAGTGATGGGAATCTATCTAATAATGAATTCTTTGAGATTTAGAGAGTAATATAGATGGTATTTACCAAATTGTGTTCATCTTACGTGTGTGGTTGATCTTTTTAAACAATGGTTATATTTTTCTGAGGATTAGATTTGTAGAACAAGGTTGAGTCATGAACTAGATAGCATTGCTTGTATTAATATTTCTTACTATGTTTTTAAAAACTACTTTAAGATAATGCAATACAATAAATGTATTAATTAAAAAGAAATACATACCTTTGAAAAAAATTCTACCTACAAAGTTCTTCATTAAAGCATCAAACATCTGTTTGACCTGGATATGTAACTCAGTGGGAGAGCTTGTATTTGGTATGTGTTAGGCCCTAGGTTCATGTGCAACCTGAAGGAAGAAACAAACTGTCCATGAGAATATTTCTGTTCACCAGAGACATTGCATTTTCTGTTTGTAATACTTAGGTTTGTAGTGTGGCAAGTAATTCTCTGAAGACTATCTGCCTTCTCTTTATATGCAAGTTGTGGAGAAGGACAAAAAGTATTTAGGGCCTGATGGTTTGTGTATGCTTGTCTTACGTGATACCAGAAAGAGATAGGCTAAGAGCATTTGAATTTCATAGTATGCAAACAAAAACATAAGCTGTCATGTAGGAATTGAATAAACTATGAAAGTGCTTCCATTACCTTTGGTTCATGTACAGTAGAAATATGCCATGTGGATGCCCAATTGCATAGCACATGTCATTGTATTACTTACCCATTGCAAGGTAACCCAGTAATGAAACACTAGTCCAGAGTATGAATGCTGTCATTTTGTCTTTTAGAGTTTTAAATAATTAAATGTTGTGGCCATATGTTAGTTAGACCCTCTGCAGTTTTTTTTTTTTTGTCAACTATATCCAAAACTGAAGTCTTTCCCAGACACAATTCTTTGCTTTCATTATGAATAGTACTTTACTCTTTCTTAAATTAAAATTGTATTTAGAACCCTTAAATAATGGAAATTCAATATTGAGTATATCCATTTTACCCTTCAAGAAACTTTGAATTTGACAGGGAACCTGCAGCCACAAACAACTGTCAACAATTAGAAATGTACACATAAAATTTTAATTATGTATTTGCAGTTGTGAAGTCTATGTATACTGTTCACACCAGTTCCCACATTAGAAAACTTAGAGTGTATCCACATGTACTTTAGAAGTAATAAGTGAATAAGGTGGTCAGGATTGGCTGACAGGAGTTCTCAGGAAGCCTCTCTAAGGCTATACTGTAAACATTCCCTAACTGCTCATGATGAATACATACCCTCAGGCAGGCAAGTAGACAAAAGACTCCTCTCCAGCCCCACTCACAGAACATTGTGAAAATATTTATACAACACTGTACACTTTATGCCAGTTACATTTTATATTCCCTCATATAAGAAACAGTAGGGTATATTTTTAAACCGTCTATAATCTTTCAGAGGGACCTTGGAAGTGTCAGAATAGTCAGAAGGCAGGGCAAGTACCAAGAAAATAAATTGATGGTTTTGCTCTGGTTTATTATGAATGACAGTTACAAATCCATACCTGAAGTGTGCTGTGTCTGGTCTGGAATTGTCCTATAGGTTTACAAGGTGAAATAGTTGGCTAATGTTGCCTGTGAGATGACACCTAAGCAGTTGCCTGTTCCATTGAGCTTCCTTGTCCTCTTGTAAGGAATTCCTGGCTAAGAGGGGATTTTTGTGATTGTTGACTAATTATGTGACTTGGGGGTGGTTTGTAGCAGCCAGTGATCCAGTTGTTTGCTAGTTGGGGTAGTTTGAAATAATTCATTCATGCACAATAATTCTCCTTAACATTTAACAGGTAATGAATGTGACATAAATTTCCTTCTGGATTTAGAAATTTCCCTTTCCTCTTCTAATGTGGAAACAGGCAGCTCTTGTACTCTAAATAATAAAGTAATTTTTGGCCATCTGTCAAAAGGGAATTTCAATACAAATTTAAATTAATGGTGCCTGAAAAGTTTTATAGCTCCTCTAAAAGCCTGTAATGTGCAGAGAAATCGGAATCTGCTGGTAGTAATTAGTGTTGCATATGATGAAGATATGGGCAGTATGACACAGCCTCATCAAAACATTTTGATATGGTACCAAAATTTTGATTTATACAAAGTTGTAGATGTGTTTAATTGTGAGAGACATTCATTAAAGAAAATTTTTTTGATGCTACTGATTGTTAAACAGGGTGGATTTCAGAACAGCTTATAAAACAGACATTTAGGCTCACTGCAAAGGCCCAAGTAATTAACATGCTTTTCATTGAGAAGCCAAGTAAAGCAGTGAAATCTCTTACTAAATTGTTAGGTCTTTTCCTTTTCCTTTCTCTTCTCTGAAGTTCTGTCCCCCTAAATCACATGCTGTTGGCTTTATTGATCTAGTTTTCTATAGCTCCGGTAGCCAAGTTCATTCTTAAGCCTGTTATTTGCAGACTTCCATCTGAAGTTTTTTGACACTGAGAGAGAATGTAAATATGGATCTAAAGGAGACAGCACTGTGGGGAGTCCTAGAATCAATTTACTTGGTGATGAGAAACTAAAACATTGTGTACAGTAGTACTGTTGAAATAAGGGGCCGTAACACCTGCCACCTTCCTTATTTGTCTTGGCTCTCTACTGACTGTATGTAGTAAGCCCCACGTGTGAGGTCTGAAAATGGTAAGAAAGTCAGACTACTAATGAGCTCTTACCCTTATTGGTGTAGACAGTCCAAAAGACTCCCAAACTGAATTCCTACCTGGTATCTGAGTAGTTGACCATCTCCTATTCCATTTCTCCCCATTCTCTTCCATATTTCTCACCTGTAGAAAAAGAATAGATAAAACCTATGAAATATTTTTATGTACTGAACCCCAAGGGATTTAGGGTAAAAGTAATTGGTTCTAGAATGTTCATCATAGGGGACATTGATTGACTTATTGCCAAGAACCTCCCAGTTGCTGAGGTATCCAAGTTGCTCCAAGCCATTCAGGTCTTACATCACTCTCCAGTTTTCATCTTAAATGTGGTCAACAGCTTAGAACAACAACCATAAAACTTCCTAAACTTGGTAGGAACTTAAAGCTGAGAAATTACTCTTAGTACCATCCCCTACATCCAGCATCTACATAATTCTAATACTCAAGCAAGAAAACAGGCACCAAAGTTAAGGTCAACTGAAACAGATAGATAAACTCAAAATTATGTAATGTCAGTAAGCTCCATGATTTCTTCCATATGCTATTATTGAGCATTTTTTCATTAACACTGTTGGAGGAATCCGTTTGTTGGTTCCCGGCTGCCCAGACCCATAATAATCACACAGAGGCTATACTATTTAAAACACTTCTTGGCCCATTAGCTCTAGCTTCTTATTGGCTAACTCTTACATCTTAACTTAACCCATTTCTATTAATGTACATAATCCCTTGAATATGGGACACTCTTCTCTATTAGAACTGAAGGATTTGTCTTTTATTACCTGTAAAATACAGCAGAAGTGCAAGCATTTTCCTGCTCTAAATGGTGAATATTTTATTGTTGTTATTTTGTCAATATCACCAGATACTGTGTGTCTTCATAGAATATGATCATTCTCAGTCATTTATACATTCTGGTTATCTCCAGAACCTCTGTACTCTTTTAAAATGCTGAATGCAGTATTGGCCTGTATTCTTACAAAGCCCATCAACATTGAGATTATTTTTTGCCATTGCAATAAGTATAGCTGTTGCACTTAATTTTAAAGATTTACGTATTTTTTACACTAAATGTTTTTCTGTGTGTGTGAATATTATACTTTTTATCCTATGAGAGTTCTTTGCTTTTGCTTAAAGACTTTTATGGTGATCTTCTTTTTGTTGTGTGTAAGGCAATGCCTATTTATTCTGTTTCATCTGTATGTTAGTGCTTATTCTGCGCAGATGACTAAAAACATCATATGTTTCTGTTTACTTTCCCAGTTAGTCACTGTTGGCAGTAAAGGTTTATCACTGGAAAATTAGAATAAGGTTGTTTTTATGTTCATACTCAAGTGTATGATTCAGGCCAGGAGAGTACTGTTGCCTCATTAGCTGGGTGTTGCAGGTGAGAGTGGGTTTTGAGCAGAGTGATTACTTCTATTTGCCACTTCACTTTGCACATTTAGATTTAATGACCCAAATTCTGTTCTAGGATCTGTAGCTGACTACTCCTGCATTGCCCTCCCATAAGTATACCTATATTTTTTTTCTGTCTCAAAGGACTATCTGTTTTAAAAGCATGTGTTTTGAACATGTTCAGCCTTTTGAAATGTCCTATGTGAAAAAGAAAGTACAGGTGAAAACACTGGAAAAAAATGGCCAGGAAGGGGGTAACCATATTTCTCAAGACAGTTTTGTTTCTTATATTACTATAGGGATATTAGGCTTTCGTGGAAAACATGGTAGGGCCATTTGTATTACTGTAGACTTTAGAAAGACAAAATGTTTTTCTTAAAAGCATGAAAGAATAGAAAATAAAATTTTGAAAGGAATTTAAGGCACCAATAAAATACTGTAAAGAATAGCTTAAGAACCATGTAAGGGGAAGAACTACCTAGTTCTGCCCTATCAACAGGCCACTGCAGTTTCTTTATTCATTAATGGTAATCACAGCACACAGAGGGGACTCCCACATCAGAACCAGATAAGCAAACCAATAGTAGGCTTGCACTAAGATCTGTTTTCCCTAGTATTTTGTCGGCAATCAAGGAAAGCTATCTGAATAGGAAATGTGACTTGACTCTGGTTCCCCTTCAGTCGCTTTGTCCACAAAGCTGTTTCTCCAAACCTCGAAAAGAATTGGTTGGTGGGTGCCCAGTAGTCCCCAGTTAACCTCTTTGATTTCTTTGAAGACTCCTCCATCTTGCATATTTAACTCCTAGTTTAGATGTCACTTACAAAAGCAGGTGC